AGCAGGAGTTAATGAGGATTTCACATGACAACAGAATATAAGACAAGATTCATTCATCCACAGAAATGTTTGTGCAAACCATTCTCAGTGTCAGGATAGTGTAAGGTACACATCTTATTTAGAGATATAACATTGCATAAACTTGCATATTTGATGTGCAAGTAATTAACATTTATTGATTATGTTGAATTATTATTTCACTATAATGATACTGGGCAGCGTAGACTTGTTGGTTTCAGAGCCAGACACCCTCTGGGAGGCGAGTGTGCCAATATGTGTATGTGGGGGTTTTTTAATTTTTTTTTTTTATGCATTACCCTGGACCTGGATTTTTTTTAGGTACACGCTACCCATGAATGAGTGTTTGTCTGTTGCAGTCTGAGTTTGAGTGTACAGTAAGTGAAAGCCGGAATGAGATGATAAAGTGAATGTGGGCATGTTTTCATTTTATCACTCATAGTGTGCACTTTCCAGCCGCATCTCTTGGGTTGAGTGGGGTGTACACAGAAAAACAAGTGCATGGTACTTAGATCAAGGTCAGACTCAAATCACATTCAATTACAAACACTCATACAACACTTTCTATCCGTTTCAGTGACAGTAGAAATCTGTTATGTGGCTGGAAGGTCCCAATGATTTCTTTCACTTCCACAAAAACAGTTTTTGTGCATTTTTAGTTTCCTCACTCTTTCCCCAACACCTCTAGCAGCGATGCTACTGGCAGCAGGCTGAAGTGTTTTTGTGTTTTTGGCCTTTGTCATATGTCACGCGCTGCCCTTTTCCTTTACACACTTTTTGTCCAAGAAAAGCAACATGTCCAGACTCTGCCTGTGTGCTTGTGTAAATTTAAGTAGTTGCCAAAATACAGAGGACAGTAATGACAGCAATTAATGATTTGGGAAAAACATTCAAAACACCCCATAGCTACTTTTGAATCTTGTCAAATCATAGTTCACATTTTCTGAGGTAACATGGTACCGGCACTGTGGAGCCCCCTGTGCTGCTTCCCTGCCAGCTCTGAGTGTTTGTTGAGTGGGTACTCAGCGAGAGAGGCAAACAGTTTGTTTGATGGTTTAAGCGCCAACAGCCTGGTGCACCCAGGAGGATCTTACCTGACTTGTCTGGGTTGAATTTAAGCTCCAACCTGAGTACGTCACATGTGGTTTTGTAACTAAATATTACATAGAAAAGTGAGATTTACATGCCGTTTTTGATGATAAAGTAGCTCAAGGTGCTATATTAATACTGTGAAAGTATCACAGCGCTCAGTCCACAGAGAAATGCACACAGCCTGTATTTGTAAACTGCCTTAAAACGTCAGAACTTCTATGTCTTTGTCGTCTTCTTTGTGATGTCACAACAAAGCAGTCACCACTCTCAGCCATGCCCCTAGCTCAGCCCGAACGGACCCACCACCCAACCATGCAGAGTGTTTACCTGAAATCTGCTTTGTTTTTATTCAATCACTCAGAAAACTGTCAGCCAATGAGAAGAGACTCTCTTCTCATTGGCTGACCAACCTGTTGTTATAGAGCTCCAGAGGGAAGCCTGAGAGACGAAATGTAAAACCACATTGAGACTGAGTTCAAATAAGACACTAGAAAAGTGTAAACTATGGGACCTTTTAAATATATTACATTAGCACACATTAGAATTATGTTTTTTCATTCACAACTATCATTGCAGACAATTCATATTTCTTTTTTTCCTCCACTTCATGCAACATATTTTGCTTGGTTTACTGTGGAAAATGTCAAGAGTGCCACCAATGCAGACTTCTTTAATTTAAAATAATATGACATCAGGAATGAAGACCAATCATTTTTGTTAAAGAATTTCACACTTCAGCAGAAATTCCTCTGAAAGCAATTTTTGCATTACTCTGAAAAATTGCTGTACCTTGAATTATTAAAACTGTTGATATCACACTTCTCTGCACAATGTTGTTTTTCCTGTTAACAAAATGATAATTAATGGCTTAAAAGTGTGTGTGTGTGTGTGTGTGGTAGTGTGTGTGGGTGGGTGTGTGTGTGTGTAGTCTTAGGTCTTTCCTGTGTGGTGTGCTGTGTGTGTGGTGTGATGTGTGTGCTTTCTGTGTGCTCGTGTCGTGGCGCAGCGGCGAAAACGCACGCTGATGGTGTGTGTTAGTTAGTTAGTTTTGATTTTCTGCAATGTCAATTATACTGTAACAGAATGAGGTTTTCTTGCAGAGCCAACTAATGTCATTTTCTTGTTTTCTGAAAGACATTAGGGAAGTTTTGTCTGCCCTCCATCCTCAGTTAAAGTCTTGATCTGTTTTTATTTCTTTTTTTTTCCCACACTGTGTGACTTCACTTTCTTTAATGCCTCAGAATGAGATGAAAGCCCAGTGCAATTAGGCTTCTTATCGTTTTAATTAAGAAAGCCATTCGGCCATATCTGCCTCCAACGCCATAACACATAATGGCAGAGAGTCTCTGATGCCTGAAGTAGTGTTTGTGTGCGAGTGTATGTGTGTGTGTGTGTGTGTGTATATCCAGTATGTATATGTGTTCAAGCTTGTGTATGTGTGTGTGTCCTAGTAACACAGTTCCCAACAATCTCTCTCCCGCCCTTCTTTCCTCTTTTATCAGTCTGTGTTCTACAATCACTATTCCCACTTGTGCCTCTCTCCAAACATGCTGTTCTATCCCTTGTTATTTCCTTCCCCTCAAAGAGACAAGGTCAGAGTCCTGTTTAAGGACTTCAAACTCAATTCAAGTATGTTGTCTGAGTGTTTCTTTCAAATCCTTTTTGTCAAACATTGCCTCATTAATGCCGTTTTCTTACTCCATGCTTAAACATTTGCAGCCAAATGGACGCATTTTATGGTGTTTTTATCTGTTTCAGCTTGTGCATACACGCACAGGGCACACTAACAGCTTATCAATGAGCATGCAAACTGCCCCTTTCCCCATATCTATTTGCATAAGATGAGAGCTACATGGCTGTAACCAAATTATTCCAGTACTCTTTTTTTTGTTGTTTTTACCCCTCATCCAAAAGAGGAGGAGAACTACCCTGTTAGTGGTGTTAACAGCCAACCAACGCCCCCCCCCCGCTCTCTCCCACTCTCCCTCCATCCTCCCTCTCCTCCTCTGTTACCCTGGCCTATCAGTGCGGAGCAGTGGTCTGTGAAGAAATTCCCAATATCTAAATTTACACACTGTATCAATCTTGTTTAATAGACTGGAAAGCTTATAGCCGCCGTGGCAAGCCGGCAGAGAGGGCAGCGGTGATAAATTGTCGGTGTGCAGGCGACAGCCGCCCGTGATGTATAATGAAATATTTATGATTTATCCCAGCTAATAAACTGAAATGAAGTGCGTGATGTATGGGAACAGATGGGCCCTCTATTGATGCTGAGGCAGAGAGGCAAGAGGGGAAAGAGGAGACAGGAAGATAGGTGGAGAGAAGGAAACAGGAGATGTGATGAGAGATGCTCCAGACGTAGTGAGAAAAAATGGAGGGCAAAGATGGGAGTAAAAAAAAAAAACACAGTTGTGTGTGTTGACACTGGAGTGGGAGAAGCTGAAAAATTGGACAAAAATGTAAGATGAATCAAAGGATGCGGGGTTGGAAGAGAGAACAAATGAGATTCAGTGATGGAGTAAAGGACAGGCGGAAGGTGGCAGTAAAAACAGACCACCATCAAAATATAATCCCTCTCCTATAATGCTTCATCGTGTTGATTCCAGGTAAGACAGGGCCAGTTGCTTTCTTTTATTGATTCCATATTTCAGGTGTAGACTTTATCCTGCTGCTGCGGTATCTGCAGACACACACAGCTCAACCTGGTGGAAAAGCTCATAGCAGGGCCGTGCCCAGGAAACCTCATGGTGACAGCAAGACTCCATATGAGAGATATGAGTAGTATCAATTTTCTCATCTAATTCTCAGCAGGAAAGTGATTAAGCATCAAACGATTCCTTTAATGACTACCAACCAAAAACATTGCATTTTGTATTAAAATTTCATTTTGCAGATGTATTGTCCTCCATGTCCTCATCGGTACTGTAACTTCAGCTAAAGCACCGATCCCTCACCTTTACTGACCTCTCTTTACACCACCTTTGTTCATCTTGCCAACCTTAACCACAACAGTGCCACGCACACACACCCATACACCCATTCCCTCCTCGGTCCCAGCTGTGGCTGCACCACCTGTAATAATCCAAAAGGACACCTTCCTGTTCCTTCTTCTCTTCTCTCCACTCCTTCCCTCCTATGTCCATTTTTCTCTCCCTCTGTCTCTCTCCACTCATCCATACTGACCCATTTCCTCTGCTTGTCATCCCCAGGCCCAGCTGAGCCCCTCATCCCACATACTGTACTCATCCTCCCCCACACCTGTCCCCCAGACACCTGTGTGTGTGTGTGTGTGTGTGTGTGGGTGTGGGTGAGTGGGTGGGTGTGTGTGTGGAGGATGGGGGGGGGAACTCTCATCCATCCCAAACAACCTAACTTCCTCTGTCTCAAACACACATGCAGGCTCTCTTACACACACACACACACACACACAAACAACCTATATTCAACCAAGTGCACTTACTCTACATTTCTTGTATCTGGTCATAAAGGTGATATAAGTGTATATGTTGTTCTTCTTCAGTTTAATTGATTTTAACCCAGATTTTTTTGTTTTGTTTTTCCCAGAAACCCAAAAGTTGTTGTGGTTTCTGCTGCAAGAACCCATTCATAGCCATTTACAGTAAACAAGGTTGTCTTGTGGCAAGCACAGCTCAGAGTATGCTTCACATAACAGAAAGTAATAAGTGTGTAAAGTAAGTTTCTAGTTGGAGAAAATGCTAATAAGCTGCTGGATATGCACAATCAATGGAATTTAGAAACAGTCCAGTACACTCAGTGCATCCATTTTCTAACCTCCTTATAAACAAAAAATAATGAGCCATAAAAATATGACTGGAATTTTTCCCTTCGCATTGATCACCCGCTTCTCTCTCTCCTTGTATGTCTTTTAGGAGACACTGTGGTCTATAAAGATGGTGTGTATTGGATCATGGGTCGCAGCAGTGTCGACATCATCAAGAGTGCCGGCTATAAGATCAGTGCACTCGAGGTGGAGCGTCACCTACTGGCTCATCCAGACATCATAGGTAAGAGTGCTGTACAAGCTTAGTCTGGGAGTGAGTGGGAGGACAGTGTCAAGGAATTTGAGGGCCTTCACACCAATATTAGATCAATGTTATAAAACCAGTGGCTGTTTTTATAACGTATATAATTCCCCAGTTTAAGACAATGCAATAAAACAATGACCCTAAACATACAAACAAGACAACTGAGGAGCTGTTTCTTTAATGACAAAACAGTGGGATGTTACAAAGGGGGCTATAATTGCTACATCCAATGTGCATGTAAACACCCTCTAATTAAAGATAAGAGTTAGCACTTTTAGCTCCAGTCATTGTTTTAAAACCAATGTGCTTAAGTTCAGAGCCAACACAGCAAAACAAATGGCAGTGTACTAATTCTTAAGCACTGCACTTCAGGATGAAATCATTTGAGCAGCTGAAATTTAAAAACAACATGTCTGCCTCACGTGGTTTTAACTTTGCAGATGTGGCTGTCATCGGGGCACCAGATGCCATTTGGGGTCAGAAAGTGACCGCAGTGGTGCAGCTAAGGAAGGGGCAGAGTATGACCCTGCCAGATTTGAAGACCTGGGCAAGGTACTGTGACCTTTAGCTAGATAATATTTCCTTTGTAGCTCTTACCTGTTGGTACACTCTCGTGTGTACACTTTTTTTTTCCTCTGTAGAGATTAGGCTTAGGGTTAGAAACAGATTATCCCTATCAACAAGCTGCGTTTTCTGTTCACAGATTCTAAAGTAGGAAAGATGTTTGGAAATACAGGGGTGTAAACCGTCATCCTTGACTCAAAGGTCAACAAAGAGACAACAGACACACCCTTCCTTCACTTTAGCAGAAAGATGCGGCGTAGTCCTGGAAAAACATTAAACTGGATTCACTTTTTGCCACAGCCCGCTGCAATGTCATCCAGCGATGCGCTATGTTCACCAGTTAAACTCATGCAAGTTCACATTCCTGCTAGAAGTCGAGTTGCTTTGACTTTGCAGTTTGAACTTCGTAATTGGACTGTTTACTTTGGAATTGATGAGATGGAGCACAAAATAATGGTGGCTGTGATAAGTTTTCAGGGTTTTAAAAAGTCTTTGTCCTTGTGTTATAAAGCGCTGTGCAGTGTTTTAGTGTCTAATAAGGCCTAAAACTAATGGATGCATTATTCTGAACTGGCCCTCCTGGATCATATTTTGTCTTACTAGTACCTGAAACAACAGGCCCACACCAACACATCCCCCTTGCATGTTTTTCCTTTTTTTTTTTTTAATGCAGAGCTGTTTTTGGTCTGTATGACCAGTATGGGTGAGGTCACTAACAACTGGACCACCTGCCTTCTTTAAAAGTGCTTTGCGGCAGCAGGTGGACTCCAACCCGTACCACCAGTGGAGACTGTGACCTGAATAACTTACCACCAATCCATCATCCTGAACTCACGAAAACAAAACACAAAAAGAGCACCATATCCCATTACTGCAAGGGAGAGCTGACCCCGTCTTATTACGGTGATTCAAGAAGACAATTTCCACGGCTTTTTGTCAGTCCTGTGGTAAACAAATGAAGGCTCCTAATGCGGTTTCTGCAGCTCTCCCAGCAGTTCGGCACACATGTCCCCAGTGACTGGCCCTGAAGTCTTCAGATCAATAGGAAAGGATGTGAGAGAAAGAGAGGCCAGAGATGGACTAATGAGGGGAGCTGAAGGAAAGACAGGAGATGAAAAAGAGGAAGATGTGGGGGAAGCGAACAAATGATTGTTACGGGAAGCTTTGTCTTGCGAGCTAACAGTTTTTTTTCTCCCTTCCTAAATGTCAGTGGAGTTTATTTTGTCTATCGCAGACAGTTGCTGGTGACATGCAGCCCTCCACTTTGCAGTGACTTTTGGCACAAACACCCCTCTGTCTTACTCTTTTCCCCTTCTTTTACTCTACTCCTTTTCATAAAATTTGGTTTCATTTTTATTCTTCTTTTTGTCCTCTACACTGTCCTTTCTACCTCTCACGACTATTATTTATTCAGATTTCTGAATTCTGTATGAGTGCATTTGGTGCGTGCATGTGTGTACGCGCGAGTGTGTGCGTGCGTGCGTGCGTGCGTGTGAGTGATTGTGTGTGCTGTGGGCTCCATATGGTGTGGGGGTGTTAGATCTTTACTGCTGTGGTCTGCTGGTCCAGCATGGTGTATTACTACTACTGCCTGTTACCCAGGATAACACACACACATACTCACACACACACACACACACACACACACACACACTTAAAAACTCACACAGTGTTTCCAGCCACGGGTGCTGCCAGCGGACAGGCAGTGCCAGCACACAGCCCACTGCTGAGGCCAGGATGTAGAGGAGAGAGTGGGAGATAAAATGAGACATAAACAAGTAGATGGATGCTCACTCTTCAGTGCCCTGGCTTCAGCTGTCAGTCTGAATCTCTATCACACCCTCTGCGCCCCACACTGCCTTGAACACGCACACTCATGAACACACAAACACTCTGCCCCGGAGAAACTGGTGACACGAGCAAAGCCCCATTAGAGAGATGTGTATGTATGCACAAATACTCACTCACACTTTACTCACTGAGTCAGAGAGACGGAGAGACGGAGACATCTGCTGAAAGTGGTGTTTGATGGCAGCAGCATGAGTCATTATGTTCACTCGCACCACAAGCGTGCACACAGGAACACACACGCACGCACAAACAAACAAACAAACAAACAAACAAACTAGGTTAGAAGATAATAAAAAAGCTCCAGGCTTCAAAACTTGACGTAACAACCATACACTAAAAACTGAAAAAAAATAAAACACTTTTAATTATCCCAGCCTTCTGTTTTTCCTTTTATTATTTGTTTTTTTTTATTTCATCTCACAGTGATTATATTGTTTTGTACGAAGGGAATTGTCTGTGTCTGGAAGGCGAATTGGGGGTATTAGGGAGGAGAGCTGCAGAGTGTATGAAGGACATTTCTTTCCTTATCTCGACTGCTCTGCCACAGGGCTCGCCTTTGTTTTGCAGTTGTTTTTTCTGTTTTTGTTTTCCTTTTGGTCGTTGCATATGTGCGCGCGTGCATGTTCCGTACGTTTGTGCATCCTTCAGTGTTTAGCGTGTCCCTGTGCATGCTTGTATTAGTTCAGTGTGTGTGTTTCTGCAGTAAACAGTCGTCAATTTATTAACACCAGTGTTTATTGCAGGGAACACATGGCGCCCTACACCATCCCCACAGGCCTGTTGCTGGTGGAGGAGATGCCGAGGAATCAGATGGGCAAGGTCAACAAGAAGGACCTCCTGCGACACTTCTTCCAATGACTGGACCACTTCGATATGTATAACAATACACAGGTTCCTGGTCCCTCCCTGGCTGTTCCCATCTGGTCCTTAGATCCGACAAACATCACAGACAAGTGTGCAGAGGGAATACGAACTAATGGAAAATGACTTAACCTCTGAGGTAACTTAATCACAACGACAGACATTGCTGCAAAGGTAATTCTGTTACAATGATGCTAATTATTATTGCATTCTTTATCAGTTATGTGTAAGAGGTTTGGAAATCATCACTTTGATATATCATTTTTTGAGGCAGTATGAAACAGATCCATTAAGAGGACAAAATGTGAAACTTCATATACCAAGAAAGAGTCAAAATTATCTGCAGTGACATGAAAATGGTGGTTTAAATTCAAACTGACTAACATGAATGCGACAGATGAACGATATGTAAGAAATTTTCAAGTAGTGTTAAATGATATGCGACCTAATATGACCCACTTTTATAGGGTTTGCAATTTTATCAGTGTACCAATTCCATACTGCAGTACTGTATGAATTATAACCAGATTTAGACTATGTAGTATGTTGACACTGGAAACATGACAAAAGTGATTTTTGAATGATTTGTGTATATTTATGTCTTAATGGACACCACTGACCCTCAATGTAATGTACAAAGGAAATGAAGCAGCTTCCCCCAGCTCCAAACAAATTTAAATAAATTGTGAATGAATAATTGTAACTAACTGCAAAACAGTGGAAACAGTGTATACAGTTCGTATGTTGTACAGCACTGGGACAAAACATTTGATACAGTTACTCAAAGTCATTATACTTGTTTATGAAGTGTCTGCACCCAGCAGAACTGTGGGATACACTGTTTTATCTGCGTTAATGAGATGGGAACAGCCAGTGTAGTCTGCTTTGGTTCCTGATGAATAATTCCTCATACTCTGAACAGGATGTTCAACTGTTGCACAGCGGTACTGTTATTGGTAAAGAGTGCTTTGAGTACTCTTATTGGTTTATTCAGATGTTTTACTGGTGGAAATGTGGTGTGATCACAGAATACAGAATGACAGTTTTGATGGGTGGAGTGTTGTGACCACAATCAAGAATCATAGTTAATTACACCTGCAATAAAAACAAAATAAAAGACAGTGTGTTGGTAGAAAAGGAGGCTTCGAAATGTGATCAGTGAGTAAACATGGATAATATTAGTTCCTCAGCTCTGTACACACTCTGATACGCTTGAAATGTTTATCTGAAAATAAAAAAAAAAGTTTTATAAAATTTAAATTAAAAAGTGTTTTGGAGTTATTTTAGTTTGCTACTTTTTCAGAAGTGTGTGTGCACATGCGTGTGTGCGTGCGTGCGTGCGTGCGCACAGCTGTGGTTACACAGGTGTGATGAGAGCCTGAAGGCGGATTCTTTAGCAAGGCACAACACCGCAGCTGGATGCCCCGCACTCCATCTGACTAACCCTCGCGCTCCGCTCGCTCTTCTCACCTCTCATCCTTTCTCATCTCCATTTCTCCAATACTTCACCTCTCTGTCTTCATCACAAGTCAAAACAGATTGCAGTGGCACCGGGACCAACTTCACTGTGACTCCTTTTGAATCAGCGCTGGCGTGCAGCCAGAATAGGCAGAGAGAGCATGAAGAGATGAAAGAAAAGGCACTGAGAGGAGGAAAAATATAAAGCAGGACTGTCAGAGAGATTGGAGCCTTGACAAGAGCTGGCTAGAGAAAGTTGATAGAGGAAGGGATGACAGAAATGAAGATGCAAAAAAAAAAGAGTCGTAGGGATGCAAAGGATATGGAGATAAAGAACAAGGGGAAAGAGTGAAGGACGCACCAAAATACAGTTGAGATAAACAATCGCGATGAACAACCAGAGAACTGAAGATGGAAAGAAATACAAGTGCAACCTCCAGCCGATACAACCTCCTGTCCACACACACACACACTCGTCCGCCCACAGTCACCAGAGACCTGATTAAGAGAGCAGAGCTATCGATCTGTGGGCTGGCAGGCTAGGATGGATGAGCAGGCAGGGCTGCAGGAGCACCAGAGGACAGTTTCAGTGCCCCCAAATCCCCCCGCCGCCCCACCCAACCACCCACGCCAGAGCTGAGAGCCGGCCAGAGCCACGGGCAGGCAGGAAGGCTGAGGCTGCCACGCTGAGGCTGCAGCCAGCAGCAGAGGGTCAAAATCAAAACTCAAGAGTGTTGAGCTGTTGTACAGTAATAGGTGCACTGTACTGTTGGTGTGTGTGTATGAGTGTTTAGGAGGGACATACAGGACTGGTTCCAGCGCTCGCCTGGTGCATACAAGGGGGAGGGGAAGCTGGTGGATATTCCCTGGACTCAAGCTTGATGGAGTACTTGTGCCCTTGAACTACCTCCACCTCCCCTTTCTCTCTATCTCTCTCTCGCAAACACACACACACTCCTTGGCTGTGTTTGCTGGAGCGTGGTGGAGGAAGTTGTCTGTAGATGGCTGCTTATTGGGCCCCAGGGTCCTGGAGGGTGGGTTATGGGGGACACCAGTGAGGTTGTTTATGTGTTTGAGACCCATAGAGAGTTCGGGTAGAGTGGTGAAGATCTTAAAGGCAGGCAACGTCACAAAGAGATGAAGGGAGAGTTTATATTGTCACGTTGGTGCTGGAGTCTTTTTGCTTTGTTGCAGGTTCACTTTTTATGTGAGTCTGCCTTCAAGATGATATTTGTTTTTCTAGACTAATTTAGCTTCCTGTTCAGACAATGGACACATTAGGTTATAACAGGAATCAGGTGGCATCACAAACTAACAAAGAATTGAAACAGTATTAGATTTCAAAAAGATTTTTTTTTTTTTTTTTTATTACATCGGGTACACTGATTGAATGCCAGTTCATTCAATCATTGATTTGTTTTCTCTATCCGCTTTTCAGACTCTTCTCCCAGCGTACACCTGGCTGACGGCAGACAGAAATGCTTGACGGATTGAAACTTCCTCACATGGGCGGACACAGACCTATGAGCGCTCAATTACACCGTAACAAACAGAGCAAAGGACACAAGCACAGGTATGACCCCAAAATTATAATATGATCAAATTTAAGCAAGTTATCCACATAGAATTTTTCCAAATAAAAGTTCCAAAGTGCTTCAGAATAAAAGCAATTAAAGAGCAACTTAATGAGTTCCAGTGGTTTAACCTTTCACCTTGCTTCAGTCATGTAGATGTGTACTCTAGGATGTTTCTGTACACCGTGACATCACAGTTTGGTGTGGTACAAGCACAACAACACCAATTAAAACCGATGGAATGCTAAAGGAAAAAGTAACCCCAACGTAAAATCACAACTTGTTGTTTTTACGGTATTTGTAGAGAATAAACAAGAACGTGTGAGTGAGACTCACATCTTGATACCTTTGGACTGACCCAGGCGAGCTGTTTCCCCTGTTTCTAGTCTTGGGGCTAAGCTAAGCTTCATATTTTCTACACAGATGTGAGAGTGGTGTCAATCTTCTCATCTAACTCTCTGAAAAAAAGACGAATAAGCATCTTTCCCAAAATATTGAATTATTCCCTCAAACAAAAGAGCACAAAATATAAGTTTCTCTTTTTGTTGAATGGGATGATCTAATACTAATTGGTAAAGTATTCCAAAGTTATGGTTCACAGACGATGGCCTCCCCTTATATTTCAGCCAGGCTCTGGGAACATCTATTAGACACTAATTATCTGGCCCCAGACACTTTATGTCACTACATGGAAAGAACAATTCAGAGGTGTGTATGGGGGCCCTCAGTATGTAGGGTCTGATATGTAATAATTAACATTTAATATTTAAATTTCACCATGCAGCCAAAGCAAAGAGATCAACACTGTGGTAATGTGCTACCTGCACTCGGAGGGTTTGAATTTGGTCTTGTGCATACAGTGTGTTACTTTGAAACTCATTCTCTGTCACTCTGACTCCTCAGACGTCTGAGTCAGCCCGTCACTCTGCTGTGAACATGAAAGCCGTCCATCATGAATGATTCTGGAGGAGAAAGAAGTTCATCCCTCTTCTCTTTGAACACCGACTGCATAATAAACAGGTCAGACTGAAGTAATAAGCCACAGACACACAATAGCTTCTCGGCTCAAGGCAGAGCACTTATACACTGCTGGTCTATTGAACATTGCAGACACAAACAGAAAATCAAGCTACAGTTATAACTTTCACACGTGCACACTTCTGACAATCACATAAGGCTTCGGGCCTGCGGCTACTTGATGAACATGACAGGCTTTATGCATGTAAGTGGGTAGAAGGAGGAGTGATCGGAGGATGACAGGCAAGGCTCTTCAGCCCCAGGGACACCGTAGTATACAGTACACACACACACACACACACAATCAAACGCACATCAGTGAATCCAGACCCCCACCAGCTCTGTGTGGGTGCGTAACCAATGCTTGTAGTGGCAGGTTGTTGTTTACATGGAGCTCATGTTTATTCTAAAGCTGCTTACACCTCACTGGCTCAGCCTCAGGCTTCGTTCCTGTGAAACTCCTGCTGACTCGCTCTCTGTTTCATCTTGGCCCTTTTCTCTGTTGACCTTTTTCCCTCTTTCCCTCTCTCTATCGCTCTCTTTTTTTTTCCCACTCTCTGTCCCTCATTACTATCTGTTAATTATGTTTGTCTCATTGCCTGTGATGTTCCACGACATGTTTTTTGAATGAAGGACAGAACGCGCAACTCCTGTGTCCAGTGGTGGAAAGTAATTAAGTACGAGTTACTCAGTTTACACAATTACCGTACCTAAGTACAACTTTAAAGTACTTTCACTTAACTTTAATATTTCCGTTTTATGCTACATTACACTTCAACACCACTACGTTTCAGAGGGAGATACAGGATAGTGTAGTAGTTTTTACTTATATTGGAATATTTTTATAGTGTGGTGTTGCTATTTTTATTTAAATAAACGCTTGTAATACTTCTTCCACCGCTATCTGTATCTTTGCAGTTGAACACAGCTTTAAAAAACTTTTTTGGAAAAAAAAAACAAAAAACAAAAGAAAAAATAAAACAGAATCAATACTGAATTATCATGTTCTAGCTCTCATAACTCGGCCCACTCAACAATGGAGAGAGACAAGGTCATGAGAGAATAAATAGCAGGCAGACTAGCTAATGATCTATCATTCTGGACAAGCGGCTGCACCCAAGAGCGGGCTGGCTGACAAGATCATTAATAAAAGCTGCTGGGAGACTGATCGATCGGCTTGATGGATGATCAGAGCCACAAATACTATAAAACACCTGGATGTCAAGCCTTGTCTCTTTGAAGAGAGGGAGGGAGGGAGGGAGGGGAGGGAGCCTTAAAAAAAAAAACAAAAAAAAAATCAAAAATCCAGACCCCAGTGGGGAGTCGTCAGAGGGGATCAAACCCTGACGCTCCACCTCTGTACTGTGCTGGGAAATGAAGTCGGCACTGCAGCCGCATGTGTGATTTTATGCATGTATCTGTGCATAGCTGCGCTGTAAATCTGCCAGTGTGTTTGATGCCGTCAGTGTGTGTTGTACACACACAGAAGCTCAGTGTGAGAGCATCATTGTAATTTGAGGTAGATCAGGGAGTCAGCAGGTGTCGTGCTGTACAGGCTGCTGCAGCAGTCCACCGTGGTGTAATGGGAGGTATTTATTATTGACGTGCTCCCCTCACACCATTACTGAGCGCTGTGGTGGTAATCTGTGTCTCTACTACGTATCTCAACTCCC